CAAACATATCTGTGTATAGTTTGGAAGGTAATGCTTGATTTATATATAGCTAGATCTGATCAATATCTGATCTCCCCTGGGAGCCCTTGCCCTTTCCTCTTGATCCAGCTGTCCTGTGGATAAATTCTTGGAGCTGCTGCAGTTCAGGAACTGGAGGGTGTATTGTCAGAGCTCCTGTGGCACGTTCCTGGTTCCTGTGAGTGTAAAGCACACACACCTGTGTACTGTGTGTTTAACCAGTGCCACCTCCAAGCCCCCATTCCAGGCAGGATCTGCTCTCCAGCCCCTGCCTGCAGCTGAGCTGCTGTTTCCAGAGGGGTGGGAGCCTGCCAAGACTGGGAATGGCACCTCTGGGCCAGAACAAAGAGCTCTTCAAAGCTCAAGGGCTGCTGCAGAGGCTTTGTCCTGCAGCCACAAACAAAGCTTTCACCCCAAGGCATTGGTTTCACAGCATCTGAGCTGGTCCACAAGCACCTGCTCCTCACTGGGATCTCTTCATTAACTCTTCATGAAGGCCTGGAGCTAGTGGGATGGTGTAGATATCATGGAATTCAAATGATCCACTTGAACTTAGTGGAAAATCAGAATTAATTAGAAGTGAAAAGCAAGAAAATCCACCTCAAGTCAGCTGGGCCAGCACAGAGCAGGAGCTGCTGCAGACAGTTCAGCTCCAGCCCTGCAGAGACTGTTAGTGGGCACAGCTGGGAGGAGCTCTGTTCCATCTCAGAAAGTGTTCTTTTCAGTTTAGGGAGAGGAAAACAGGTCCCTGCAGCAGGTTTGACAGGCACACACACTCTGGGTAACCACCCCCAGCATGAAAACCAGCCCAGGCAAAGTTGTCAATCTCCATTTATTCAGCTTAAACAAAGATATTTCTTAAAAAAATAATCAATAAATAAACCAGACATGACCAAGGAGACGCAGTGAGGAGTGGAGTACCCCCAGGCACAGGAAGCAGAGTCCCCACCAGCGTGGAGAGCCTCTCTCCAGAGCACAACGAGTGGCCACTGAGGCCTCCCTGCCCACACACAGCACAGGCTGTTCCCTGTGATCCCTGGGGGTTCATAATGCCCAATTCATGGATGTGGGATTTGTCACTCTCCACACACAACACCACTGTGGACACCAGGGCTTTGTGTGCTATTTGCCATCCTGGCAAAAGTGCTAGAACCATTTATCCAATCTTAGAGCCAGAGGGAAGTGCCAAAGAGCAGCAATCCCTCGGGAACAGGGGGAGGGATTGCTGTGCCACAGGCATAAAAATCCTTACTGGCAAAACTAGAGCCCACCTGGATCCCAGGAATTCAGGTACAGCATAGGTTGGGCAGGTGTTAGTGAAACCCAGAAGAGTTTGGGTGGGAAGAGACCTTAAAGCTCATCCAATCCCACCCCCTGCCATGGGCAGGGACACCTTCCACTAGCCCAGGTTGCTCCAAGCCTCATCCAACCTGGCCTGGAACACTCCCAGGGATGGAGCAGCCACAGCTTCTCTGGGGAACCTGTGCCAGTTCCCCTCACAGGGGAGAATTTCCCACCTATCCCTGCCCTGGCAGTGGGAAGCCATTCCCCCTTGTCCTGGCACTACCTGTCCATATAAAAAAAAAAAATCCCTCTCCCTCCTTTTTTAAGCCCCTTTAGGCCCTGGAAGGAGCTCTAAGCCTTCTCCATGCTGAACCAGCTCTCAGTTGAAGCTGAATCTGCCAATCCTGACCCCATTCCCACTGAGCCCCACTGCAGATGGTGTGTATCCATCAGACATACCAGTTTCCAGTTCCCTCTGCTGTGTTGCAAACCACATTTAGGATTTATTTTTGTGTCAGCAAACAACTAATTATCCTGAAAACCAAGTTATCAGCTAAAGTGCAGGAGCCCTGCAGTGAGCAGCACACATCCACCTGTACACGGGGAATCCAGCACAGCCCACTGGGATTCTCCCTTACCCACACAAACAGGGACAAATTCAGCCTTGGAAAATAGTGCCTATAAAACTTCCAACACACCCCCAGCAACTCCATGAGGTGTCCTGGAATGAACAGCACAAAGGCTGTTCTGTGTCACCAGTTCTGCATAAGAGAAGCATCATCCCTTCCCCAGCTACCTCATCCTTCCGTCAGCACAGCCAGCAGGACAATCCCATGGGATTGGCCTGTGGCTGCTGAGACAAGAAACTCAAACCTTTAGAAAAATACAATGCAAGAAAAAATTTGAGATAAAAATATAGACCTTTGGTTAAAAACCATCCCTTGAATAAGAGTCCTTTGTACCTCAGCTACAACAGAAAACCTTTACCTCGACTCAGCAGTAGTAAAAATTAGTCCTAAGCTGATTTTCCTAACCCAGGGACCCTTCTAAAACATCAGGAATTCTTTTCCCAGGATTTACACATTTGATGGTCATTATTTATAGGGATTGTTACATTTGCAGCAAGAAACTCTATCAATTTTCCACTCCTCCCCCAAGAGTCTTTACAAAAAGAACAAACTGCTCAAGAGTTAATTAAAGAACCGTTGGAACATGTAGTTTTCCTCGGATACCAAATAGCCAAACTTCCTGTAGAAATCCACATTTTTGGGCAGACACTCCAGTGTGATTTTGTAACAGTTCAGGCTCTTACTGAGCAACGTGAGGGTGGAGATCAGGCTGGAAAAGACAAACATACAGTTAATTGTAGGTCATAGAGCAGTTCATTAGTTAAATTACCGCAGTGACAGTTCTTGCAGA